GGAGCTGCAGTGCTTAGACATGCAATTTCCCCCCTCCTCCTTGGAGAGTGCCCTTTACTGCCCTGGAGCCCCCAAGGAATTTTTCTTCACTACTAAAAAGTCAGCAGAAGCATTTGTATTTTCTTGAAATAGCAGGTTTTCAGGATTTCTTCTCAAGTGGAGTTTCAGTTTCTGTTGTTGTCCACCTCTAGAGAGCATCAGAATTTGAGCGCAGTTATCCAGCTCTAGTTTGCTATGTTAAAAAATAAAAATAAGTCCTTAGCTGTGTACCAGAATTTGAAGGGCAGCCACATGCACAGTAATTATATAGCTCTTGCCTGTAGTTGTTTATTTGGGATTAAAGGAGATTTTATCTAAAAATCATAACCCTTCTGCTGGGTCATTTTTGGAAGGAATAGATAGGATTTTGGTTATTTAAGTGACATATTTCTGGAAGAATAGGTGAGAAGGGCATTAACCTAAATATAATCTAAATTTCTGTCTGTAAGTGACAATCACCCTCTGAATTTTATTTGGCACAGAAATTCCCTAATGTACAACCTCTATTATAAACTAGCACAAGACAATTATTAATACACTTATTTTGAATCAGTAGTCTATGCAAAGAACAAATACTAGGGGGCATATATCTCAATTTGAGGTATTCAAAGCATTTCTATACTTTGGATATTTTGTACTTTATGCCTTCTTCTTAGGCCCTGATGAAAGAAAGTACCTATATTTGTAATTATTTTATTAATCCCATGTAGTCCTAAGAAGTATTATGTGAACTATGTTGGTATTTTTTCATTCTAGCATTCTGCTATAACATCAAATTTACTTCACTTTCTCTAACTACTTATTTTAAGAATGTCATAGAACGACAGTGTTGACATAGAGGAGAATCATCATGTATATCTACATTTAGTGCACTGGAGGAGTTCCCAGGTATGAATTTGCCCTGCATGCATCCAACCTTAATAGGTTGGAGAGATGGGTAGAGAAGAGCCATCTGAAATTCAACAAAGGCAGATTCAGGGTCCTGCACCTGGGGAAGAATAACCCTTTGCACCAGCACAGGCTAGGGGCTGACCTGCTGGAAAGCAGCTCTGCAGAGAAGGACCTGGGCGTCCTGGTGGACAACACCTGTCCATGAGCCAGCAGTGTGTCCTTGTGGCCAAGAGAATCAATGGTATCCTGTGGGTGCATTAGGAAGAGAATTACCAGTGGGTTGAGGGAGGTGTTGCTAGCCCTACTCAGCCCTGGTGAGGCCACATCTGGAGTGCTGTGTCCAGTTCTGGCTTCCTCAGGAAAAGAGAGACATGGAGCTCATGGAGCACGTTCAGTGAAGGGCTACAAAGGTGATGCGGAACATCTCTCCTGCAAGGAATGGCTGAGGGAGCTGGGCCTGTGCAGCCATGAGATGACTGAGAGGGGGCCTCATCAATGTTTACAAGTATCTGAAGGGAGGGTTTCAAGATGCTGGATCCAGGCTCTTCTTGATGATGCCAAGAAATAGAACAAGTGGTAATAGGCAGAAACAGATGCATAGGAAGTTCCACCTGGACATGAGGAAGAACTTCTTTCCTGTGGAGGTGACATGCACGGGAACAGTTTGCCCAGAGAGGTTGTGGAGTTTCCCTTACTGGAAATATTCAAGAACTATCTGGACACAACACTGTGCCATGTGCTCTAGGATGACCCTGGTCAAGCAGGGAGGTCGGACGAGATGGCCCACTGTATTCTCTTCCAATCTGACCCATTCTGTGAATCATATTTTTAAAATCATACCAGCACGAGGTCTGTGTTTCACACTTCCACAAGCTTGTTTGTAGTGATAGACTCTGTATAATGCTTCTGCACTAAATCTATAGAATTTATTAAGAATATCTTTGGTCCTGAAGTCCTTAACAGTTTTCTTGGAATGCATTTTGGGGTCAAAGAAAATTGAAATATTTACCTGTAGGCTGTTTGCTTTTGTAGCTCTCGAAGCTCCAACATGCAGCTGTTTAATAAAACTGAAACAATGTCCTCTAAGCAAGAAAACCCACTAGAAACAGATATGGGAAAAAATGTTGGTTATCAGGTATCAAACTTAGACTCACATTAAAATAATTAATAGCTGAAATAATGCTTTGGTTAAAAGCTGAAGTATTCCATCAAGTGTCAGTAAGATAGTATTTTTTAGGTAACTCTTCTAAACCTATGTGTCTTTCTAAGGAATGTTTCTTTCTGCTTAAGAGTTTTTAAGTGTTTTCATTTTACTGTGGAGATGTCTTATGAATAATACTACTTTTAAAGAAGAAATTGTAATAGTCCAAGTACCAGAATTCTTTTAGCAAAAAATAGTGTTTGTGACTTTTTGTTGCTTGTGTTTCATGAGAATCTATTTTGATATGAATCTGTATGTAAGAAATACATAAATAAATTGAAAATTGGATGTGAAATTAAGGTATGGATGTGTCAAACATCCTATTCACCCATCCATCCAGTACCCCAGCCACTTCTTCCTACAAAATAAAATTGTATGAAGTATATTTTCCGATTAGATACATTGAAAAGATTTTTTGTGTGTATGTTTTCTTCATGAAGCAATGGACCACTGAAATATATCTAAATTCTAGAATAAGATGAGAATAGTTCCTGTTATTCATGTCTGGTTTGGATTTATTGAAGCTCAGAACGGGAACATATAAAATCTTGAAAATTCTGATGGGATAAAAGAAGCAGCTCCACTTCTAGAGATAGTTTTTATATTACTGTAATGTAAGCAGAAAAGGTTGGAGTAATTATCCTTTTAATTAAATATAAATGAACTACCAACATGGCTGGAGAGAAGAGTATTTCACTTCTGGTTCCTGCAATTTCATGTATATCTTTCTAAGACTGAATGTGTGCTTGCAGTAAATGTGCATATGTATGTAGCGAAGGAGGATGGGTGAATTGTATTGCAGTGGAAAACTTTGTGATTTTTGAGAGCTTCCTTTTTTTGCATAGTTATTTCATTTGCAATTTGTTTTCTCCCTATTTTAATATCTTTAGGATACAAAGTAATTTGCTTCTGTTTGACAAGCTAGGCATTTAAGGAATTAGCAACTAGAGCATTAGAAGCCAGGTACAGAGCTATAAAAGATTCATAGAAGTAATTTTCAGGATTAGGTTTACAGCTTCTAACTTTTACATTTTGTTGTCTTGAGTTTTATGTTCTATGAATCTGCCACCTTAGAAAAGAAATATTATGAATTTACACTGAGCTTTCCATCATAAATAAATAATTATAGGGGCAATAAAAGGAGGTAAAAGTAATTGGGGGATAGGGTTGTTGGGGAAATGGTTTTGAGGAGTACAAACAAACAGATGACTTTAAGATCCATCTATATTAAATAACTGTGAGAATCATAAAATGTGAAATTTAGATAGGGCAGATAAGGAGATTCTACTTGGTTTCAAAGGTTAATTTCAAGCTTAGTGTAAAAAAGCTGCAGAGAGTAAGAATACAGCATGAAAAGAACTTTTTTATTCCTTCCAAGAGATAAGTTATTTCTTTCCCCAAGGTTTTACTTCAATGCATTTTTATGATTCCTGGGCTTTGCAAAATGGAATTGCATTTTTCTTATTCTTTTCATGTCTGAATAAATCCAAGGTACGATAACCTTTATGTAAATGGCAGTTATATTGCATTTAGAGATACAAAGCACTTCTTCAGACCAGAATTTGTACTCAGGATTCATAAGAGCCTGGAGAAGGATGGTGGGACTCCTGGGATGTTCATTTGAAAAAACAGATAGAAGCATTATTTGTATAAATTGCTGTCAATGCATTGCAGTCAGCTGGTGCAGTGGGAAAGCCTGAAGACAAAGTCTGCCATAATTACTGTATATTCCTTTTAACAAGTAGCAAAGGAGGAGGAAATATTCTTGCATACATAACCCCTGTGGTGGGTTAACTTTGGCTAAGGGCCAGTTTCCTACCCAGCCAGCAGGATAACAGGAGAAAATAGAAAGTAAAAGCTTGTGGGTTAAGATGAAGATAGGGAAATTGTACCAGTTACTGTAATGGGAAAAGCAGACTTGACTTGGGTAAAATGGTTTTAATTTATTTCCAATTAAAATAGGTTTAGGTGATGAGAAACTAAAAGATAGACATTAAAATCACACTTTTCCTCTTCCCTTTCCTGTGCCCAAATCCACTCATTCACTTCAGACTCCTCTCCCCACCCACTGAGCATTACAGGGGAGACAGGGAATGGGGGTTTCTGGTCAGTCCATTACAGGTTCTCTCTGCCCTTCCTTCCTCACCCCACTTTTCACCTGCTCCAGTGTGGGATCTCCATCAGCTACTGTCCATCCCAGACAAACTCACCTGCCTAGGTGTTGGTCGTCCCAGGGCTGCATGGATATTGCCCCTGGCATTTCAGCATGGACTGTAGAGGAGTATCTGCTCAGAGTATGGAGCACCACCTCCTTTGACCTTGGTGTGTCCTCTGCTGTTTCCCACTCTTCCTGTTCCCTGCTCTTCTGCCTGTCTGGCATTGTGGCTGGCTCTTCCTTAACTAGGTTTCCTCCAAGGTGCCACCATTTTGGCTGAAGAGCTCAGCTGTGCCCTGCTGTGGTTCTTTTCTGAGCCAGATGGAACCACCTGTGACTGGCTCCGGGTTCTTCTCACCAAGGCCACTGCACTGCCAACACATTGACATGGACATCCAGTATAGTCCTATTCAATTAAAATTTTTTTGAAGGTAGGGAAGGAAGCTTGCAGTCTCACATGCACACCAGACTCCCACTTTTATAAAATAAGACTTACAAAAATGCTTAAGCTAGGATTCAGTTGGCTGTTTCTTGGAGGCTAGTTTTAGACAGTCCAGGTTATGATTGAACCATGAGTGTGGGCTTTTCAGCAAAGCTGTTCTTTTAATTAGGGCAATGTTATGAGCAGGATATGTAGCCAGGGATAATCTTCTTCTGTGTCTTATCCATTGAATATGATTGCAAATGTTTTCATTGCATTTTTCCACAATTTAGATTGCAAGGGGATAATTTGGCAGAAAGGCCAGAAGATGTCTCCATGATATCTCAGACATCTGAGCCAGCAGTGTCAGACTCTGATGGTAAGTTATATAAACATTTGCTGCTCATAAAAAAAACCCACAAACATCAACATCTTGAATTTGAGAGTAGAGGTTATGTCTGTAAAAGATTAAACACTTCCAAGAGAGTGTTCCTGGGCATTTGAACTCAATCATTTACGCTTCAAATCTGTTCAAAGAGGCACTAACATATTTTTTGTCCTGGCCAATTAACACTCCAGAATAATTCCTAGGCTTATTTTGAGAGATGCATTGGGCCAGAATTTGTTCTTAGTAGACAGATTTTATCTTAGCACACTAACATTTAAAACAGCTTAATAGCATAGATATGGGCTATTGATTGCTGCTTTTATGCCAATAATTGGTCTTTGAAATATTTATTACTACACATGCATCCAGATGATTCAAACATTTTACAGTAGAAAGAAAGAGTTGATAAAATAACTCTGAAAAACACTTTTTCCCCTCATACAAACATGTTCATATGGTGGGTTAATCTGCAGTCAGGACACTCAGATTTATTTCAATTTCTTCTCAGGTTTTTGAATTGAGTAACATCTGAAATGTTGAAAAAGGCACTTCATAAGGGATATCTTTCCAGAGAATACCCAGCTTTCCTATGAAAGATAAAGCTGATAAAGGTTAACTTTATCTTAGCTGCTGCTGTAATGCAGAGAGAAACAAATATAGGTTTTGACAGAAAATCTGCAAAGATAAATCTTTCAGTCCATTCCCTTACTGTTGGGTCAAACCAGAAGAGTCTACAAATTGTATGTTTTGATTTGCAGTATAGTCTTCAGCAGCCATGGACAAGTTAGCTATGGAGATGAATTAGTACAAAAAACCCCCCCAGAATGTATTTTTCTTAAAATTATCGTACTCTTTGTCTGCCATCTAATGCTATTGTATATGCTGTTAGATATCACAGCAACCTGAGCTTTCACTCATTTCTCTTGCCTCATTTGTAAACCAACCATTAGTAACTAATATGTCTTTAAAGATTAATTTTTCAAATTGGTTTTGTGAGAATGTGTGATTTCATGCAGTCAAGACATTGGTTTTTCCTTTTATCTTCCATTGATCACCTAATTGAACAAGGTAATGGGACACTCGGAATCTCAAAACATGATGTCCTTACAATCGTCACGGTGATTGTCAGCAAGAGATGCTCAGACTGGTGACGTCAGTCAAGCCCTGTGAAAGGGAGGCAAAATTCTATTGTTATGAGAGTGATTCCCAGAAAGGGAGGTGGTGGTGGCTTGCTTGGGATAAGTAAGGGAATATGCATGCATGAGATTATTGCCGCAAAAGCAAATAGATGGGTAAGACAGACATGTGGGAAAAAGCTCTACAGTTCACAAAATAATTTTTGAACAGATCTCATCCTTCCATATTCCTTCCTGTGTATCTTTGCTCCTGAAGTGAAAGTATGCCCACCTTGCCATGCCATGTTCTAAAATTGCAGGCTTCAATTAAACAGTTAGGTTTTGCTAAGTGGCAGCAACACCAGGATTAAAGAAGGTGAAACTATCAGAAAGTACTGGATGCTGTGTAATATTGGAGCTGGATCTTTCATGGTCACAGAGTATGGAGCACAAAAGTGCTACAGCTGTTCTACCTTCGGCCACTTCATGTCCTTCTGAATACTCTGCGGTCAATATGGCTACAGAGAGGATGGAAGACACTTTCTTTAAAAAATACCACATTCAATAAAATACAGGGAGTAAAATGTAGATAGGAAGGTGGGGCACTGATATCCATGTTGTTATAAACATCTATCTCGTGTCTATGAATATAATGGACCTGCTAGTCATGTAGCTAGAAAATAACAAGGTCTCTCAGGCGAAAAGACTTAGGTCAGTAGTAAGGTAATGCCAAATTTCTGTCAAGAGGTGCCCTCAGAAATGCTCAGTGTTTTGTAACATATGGTTGAGTCTTTTTTTCCTAAAATGTTGGCTAGTGCTACGCTTCAATTTGAAAAAAAAACAACCCCACAGCTGGATTTCACAAGTAGGTGCAGGCTATAAACAGACACAGAACTCAGGCAACTGCCCATTCTATCAATCTTTCCTGTAAATGCAGCACAATATTTTCTCTCTTTGCATCTGATACTTATTTCCAATAAATATTATGTACGAGAGGATGATAAAAAACCCTCATAAAGATACTGTTAAAAATCCTAAGTAACCAAGGCATTGTTGTACTGAATTTTTAGTTATGTCCTCTTATAGATGTATTACATCATGAAATAGTGACTAGCAGGCTTTACTTACAGGGTTTATTTGAATTTATGTTCTGCTATTTATCAGTACCAGTGACCTTAATGAGGGAAAAGGGCATTGGGGAGTGCTGATGCAAACCATCCATTCAAAAATAAGCAAGCAAGGTGCTGATGCACAATAAAGTTGAGAGTAGCTTTCTTTAGATAATGATCTGTTTCTGTTGCTAGATCTGGAACATCTCTCCTGTGAATTTCAGATTAACTAAGTTCAGAAGTAATTGGCAGAACATCTGATCTAACAGCCCTTATAAATAAGCCTCATTTTAAGCAATTCCACCTACTAAAGTCAATGCAGGAGCTTATGTGAAAAGATCCCGTGCAGCATCAGATGCTATACTGACTCCGCTGACAATATGGATCTGGTTCTAATTAACCACTACACTGATTTCCCTCTGGTATAATCCTTCTGAATTGGACAGACTTGTGTTTGATCTAGGTAGTAAAAATGAGAGGTAGGAATCAGGTGTCAAGATAGAAAAACACAAGAAACTTCAAAGCTGCAGTTTCTTTTCACTGTCCTAAACTATACCTCTCAAAAATGTTTCCCTTTTCCATTAGACCACTTCACAGGAAAGAACTAAGGGAAGAATTTAATAGTTTCTTGATTTTGATCAGAAGCAGCAGCATAGATGACTGCACAGCAAACTTTCCCTGCAGATGCCAAGCTTGTCTGGTTTGTCTCTTTGGTCAGTTCTCCACTGAGCCTTGCCCTTGTTCTGTAGAGGTAGATGGGAAGAATTGCTGAGGCTTCAAAAGATACACACTACAACAGAATTGATCCAGAAAAATCTACATCCAACAGCCCCCAATGTGTTTATCAGGTTGGTGGGATTGTAGAAGCAATCTACTTCAGTATTTTTGGGGGGTTTTAGATATGTAGAAATCGTATCACTTAGGGATAACTGTTCATTTATTCCCAGTTTCCTGTACCATACAACCTTGTTTCACTTGTTTCATTCTCTTCTGCTGAAATGTACCTTACCCTTAGAGTGAAGCCATGATATAAGGCAGGAAAAGATGGCATTATTGCAAATACAGCTTTTGCAGTCTATGAATTCTTGTAGAAGTTTAAAATGCAGTAATGTATTAGGGAGTAATCTCCTAATACAGGATAAATGAAAAGTATAAGACTTCTAAACCACTCCTCAAATATATGTGAAAAGCTGTTTATTATGTGAGTTTCTTTGCATGTATTGTGCGACTCCGCGTATTTCTGGGATGTGAGCAAAGGCTTGTGTCTTTTGTGACTCCACCTAGAATAATATTGGACAAAAGATAATAGGTTCTGTGGTGCTCTGCCACTGTGTAAATGTGGTATTTCCTATTTTATTAAGCTATTACATCTACAGCTCTGCAGATTATATTGTGATATATAATACTTAGCTTGCTAAATAATTTTGCTAGCGCAAAATTCACATCAGTAGTTTATTCCCTATCAAACATGAGTCACTGGTTTTTTTGGGATGTTTGGGTTCTGGTTTATTTTTGTTTGGGTTTTTTCCCTCCCCTTTTAAGTGTCATTATAGTAGAAAGTTCAAGAGACATTAGGATGTAGAGGAAAAGTTTGGAATTGGGGATGTTCAATAAAAAATATGAACATATGGAACACATATAGTGTTGTTATGGGTGAAATTGCATGACCAGAGTAAAAAATTAAGGATGCAAATATGTGGGAATTAAGATTGAGGACTAGATTAGGCAATGGCAAAAGTGTGGCATCACCTCTCAATTCCCACACAATTCCCTGACCACAGCTTTGCATTATTGTCACCTCTTTGCCCTCCACATCAATTTGTGTTTGCAATGAATTGATAACCACAGCTGCCACGCTTCACAGTAAGTTCTGCTTTCATAGGAAATATAGCCTGAGATGTTCAACAAGTTGGATTCTGGAAACATAAGGACCTCCCTGCTAAGTGTCTGAATAACAGCAGAACACAGGGAAGATCAGGACATCTTCTTTTGTTGGGCTGCTGATGGAGCATCTAAGTGCCTTAGCAGAGTGCTAGGCAAAGAGTGAAACTGCATAGAATGTTACTTGGAAATTTATTTTTCTGACAGGGTTGCATAAAATCTGTTTTAAGTCATTATACATGCATCAAAGAGACATTTTAGACTCCTCACAAAATTATGTCATTTTACAAGTGGCAATATGGGCAAAAAATATGCTTTCGAGGCTTTTAAATGTTGTCTAAATTGACCAAATCCTTTTACTTCAGGAATCTTAACTGAATTAATTGGATATAGTTTTATTCATTTGATTAAAGCTGGAGATCCAATACTCCCTTGTGTAAAGGGTATACAGTATTTAGTTTAAATTGTAAAGTTAATAAAGAATCTAGAAGATACCTTGGCCACTGAAGGAAGCTTGCTTTTAGACACTGTTCCATGTTGCATTAAGGTTATAGATTAAAATCAGACATAAATTATAGTCCATTGAACTGTAACTGAAAAGTAGTACATTTACAGTAGCCACATTTACCATCCCAGCAGTAAATTTTTAGGCATTACATTTTCAAAGTGACTAACACTTACTTGATTAGAGTGATTTACATTTCTCTTGTACCTCTTTGGAACAGCTCAAGTACCTGGGGTTGAAACACTCACAGAAGATATTAATGAGTTTCAGAGCGCTTCTCAAGTGGCAGCATCTGTAAGTACCTTCCCTTATGGGTAATCCTCTAATGTTTAAAATTAGTTTCATAAAAATAGATTGTGTGTAGAGATAAAAGTTGTCTTTGCCAGCACTATTGTCCTGAGAACAGGGACAGAGAAAGAGAAGAAAACAAAATTTACATAAACCTTCTGAATTTTCAGTTCTCTACTTTAATTTTTCCATTCTAGGAAAGGGGGTATTTTGAAATATATTATTATAATCCACAAAACCACATGTTGTTGGGCTTGCCCATTGAAAGTGCAGTAATTTCATACATACTCTGTGTGTTTTTAAATGCTAGTCAAATATTAATTTTACCAGATAGTATTCAATTTTACAAATTGAAGAAAACAACATAATTCAAACTCTAAATTTCATTCTTAAATATGAAATTCTTAAATATGAAATTGTGATATCTCAACTTTAATTTAGATTTTTGTTACCATTTGCTTGAAGACTAATAAGAGCAGTTTACTAAAAATGTATGGCTAGTTTATATATGTTTTTTAAAAGAATGCAATATTATGCTTGGTAATATTTCCATCACTTTTTTTATTTTGAAACTTAAGAAAATCTCTGCAGATGTGCAGCTTGTGGAAAACATAACCAGCAGTAAAATAATTTTTAAAGGATTATATAATAATAATTTTGGTGCTACTAGTATTGCGCCAGGAGTTTGAAGATAGGTTAGAGAAATGATTGCTTTCTTTCCCCTAAGGCAAATAAACTGACAATAGTTGTTAATTTTTGCAAAATTTTGGAAAAGTGTAAAAGGACACATCAATTCCTGTTCAGTCTCTTCAGCAATACTGCTTTGTAGCACACTTTAGTGTTGATATAGGAAGTGAAAGAAGGGCTCAGTATTTGTTAGCTGAGGAAAAAAAAGCAATATAAACAAAGAAGAAAAATGACAACACAGATTGGTCTTGCAGTCTTTCAGGCAGCTGATTAAGCAGTGTGAATAAAGCTAGATAATATTGAAGTATTTACAACCAGATTATTTATCAAAGCAGTTGTATGCAAGATCTTAAATGTGAATATGAAAACAATCTGGATACTAGTACTCCAAAGAGATAGGCAACATCTATATCTATTACATGGTTCATGTAATTTACACTATGCTTGTATTATGATTTTCTTGCAGCTTTGTATATGTTTCCTGTTCTATTTCTGAAAAACCTGGTTTTTGTAGGTAGACATTTTTCTTTATACTTTTAACAATAGAATATTTTGCTATCCTGTATTTTTCATTAAAAGAGTTAATGTTTGAAAAATTGAAAACTTAGATTTTCAGTGCTGTACAACCCCAAACAAGGCATTCTGGGCGAATAAGTGAGTAAAGCTGGCAGAAAGCTGGTTGAAGTATTTACAAGAATCAGTACTTTCCCCAAGTGTTTTGTAAGGATTCAAAGTGGAAACAGGCATTCAAAACATCCTTAGAGATCGTAGTTTACTCCCTGGCCAATATTTTGTGTCAGGAGAAATGCAAAGTGCCAGGCAAAATGCAAAATCTTTTTCTTTAGATTTTTTCACTGTGGTGAGCACAAAGTTTGCTAGCCAAATATTTAGAACATTTCCAGAAACATTAAGGAAAATAAGACTAAAAAATACAGAAGTGAAACTAGGAAAAATTTCAGTGGCCTGGGATTCTAGCAGAAATGGAAAAGCAGGGTTGCAGAGGAAGCTGCTAACTTTACAGCGACCAACAAATAGAAACAGGGTACAAGCACTGAGCAGATCACATGGACTAGCCTTTGCCTTCTCTCTGACTTGTTTCTTTTACCACCTGGATCTAACAGGATTTATGCTTAGTTTTTGGTGGTTTTTATGTGAATCTTGCCTTGCACGTGCACGTAAAAGGGTATATATTTCTTATTAAATTATCCGTGTAAGGCAAACCAATCCAAATGCAGCAGAAACTGGAAGAAAAAAGTTGTCCAACTGCAAAAAGCGTTTCTGCATGAATGTGCCTTTGGTTTTTGCTCTTTATTACTATGAGAAAAATACTGTAATAAAGTGTTTTATAGAAGTATTTTGTTTTAAATAAATTTTTCCTGTATTCCCTACTGCTTTGAAACATTCATTTGCTTTCACAGAAGAAATACAGACATAGATTTTCTGTGATAAATGCATAAATTCTTTAATTCCATTTGTAAAATGACTTTAAGCTTCATGCACAAGGAAAAACTAAGCCTTTATTTTTGCTGTCAATATATGTTCAATACAATAATATTACAATGTTACATTATTTCAGTTCTATTTGTTAGAAGTTTTCATAGCGTTTCCCATTTTTTCCCTTGGAACAATAACATGAAGTAACTTAATTACTTTTGAGTATAATCAACAGAAATCATCCAAACTTCTGCATTTAACTAAATCTATAAATTATTTACTGGGTTGGGGTCACTGTTTGGCAATTAGCAGTTTATTCATTCAAATAGCTATTTTAAGATAGCACTGCCTCATCAGGAACAACAGCAGTTCACCTTTGCGGTAGTAGGAATTATAAGTTTCATAGTTATATCATATTTATGTACATATTTATGTTCAAATTAGAGATTTATGAACATATTTATGTTCAAATTGGTGTGTTCTGATACAAAAGTTTTCAAATACAAGCTGATTTTTGTAATTATGTAGAAATTCAGGCACTTAGATGTGAAATTTCAGATTTTAACTTCAAAATTTAAATCTTCTATAAAAATAATAACAGTTTATATTGGATTACTTCAGCTTTTCCACAGGTAGTAAAAAAAATCCCTACACAAATGTGGATGTTTAACCACTGTTAGGTAAGTTAACAATATAAGATGGTTAGAAAAGCATAATATCAAGGTTCTCAGGAAATAAGTGATAATTCCTACAAGTAGGAAAGTTAAGAAAGTAGTTTGAATTGCATACCCTGGACCTATTTGGTTGAAACCTCCCTTATGTCAAACAAAATCCATAAACTAGACATAGATTTTTCTTATATACCGAAAAAAAAAAAAAAAAGAAAAAAAAATCTTGGGTGAAAATACTCTTATTAGAAAATATTTAGTCCTCTACACTATAATTCTAAATTGAAAGAATATTCTGAACTCTAGAAAAATATATGTAAGAAAAGGAAATCAATGACTGCCTTGTTTTTACCTGTCTAAAATTTTGTGTTCTTGAGCATGACAAATTCAGAAGTACTAATTCAAATAGCAGTAAATAGATCTGAAGTTTAGGAAAAAGTATTCTGGTTGCATTTCAAAAACTGAAACAAATGTGATTCCCAGGTGACCAGATATTTCCTCCTTCTCACTTTCCTGTAAACAGAAAAACTGTGTGTAAGTTAACTTAAAGTATCATTTTTTTAGTGTAAGGTTTAGCGTAAAATGTGCTGCTGGCTGACTGCCACGGGAAGCCAAAAGCTTGTAATTTCAATTACACGGCATTTCAAGTAGAACAGGCCCTAATGTGGAAGAGGGGATTAGAGGTGGCAGCTGATATTGTAACAGAGCTCCAAGAAGCCTTGTATTTTTACAGTATTAGATGGTTTGCTCACCTTATGTCCTTGAACAGATTATGGAAGCTGAAAGATTAAATATTGGGTGACCTCTTTATAGAAAGTGCATGTTGAATGAAGAATCCTTAAAGAAAATATTGCACAAAAAATATTTTTTAATACTTCCTAGACTACAGATTAAATGTTTTGGTGAGGTAATAATGTAAAATTTATTTCACATAGACTGTCAAGGATTATTTAATTCTTCTGCAGAACATCTGTACTTGCCACCTGCTTGGCCAGAGTGGGAGGGACACTTGTAAACAAATTGTTTAATAAAGAGGTTTTAGGTTGTGGGGGTTTTTTTGTTTGTTTTGGATTGTTTTGGTTTGGTTTTTTTTGTTTTTTTTTTTTTTTTTAATTTAGCGGGATCTGTGAAATGCCTATTTAAGATATTTAAGTTATTCAGGGGATCTGTGAAATACCTATTTAAGATATTTAAGTTATTCAGCAAAGTAAAGCTGTGTTATCATAGAAGGCTAAGCCCAGGTGTATTTCTTAAACTTCTATCTGCTGAAGCTATCAATAAAATTTCCACTTGATTAGCAAAACCATGTAGAATCTAAAGTACAATAAAAGCACTTTTCATATACTTGCGGTTTGCTAACTAATTGGGTTTCACCTTTTACTCATTTCACAGTTATCATTCAGTTTTGGTGGTCTTCCACATCCACCTGGGTGTGCACAGGAATACCTTGGTTTTACTCTGAAACAGACCCAAACGGCATAGAAATATGTGCTGAATAGTTTATTAACACTTTTTTTGGCCAGTAAGGAAGAGTAGTTTATTTTCTAACAAGTACTTGATTTTTAGATGGTGTAAGTTGGAGCCCTAACTCTTGGTCTTAGCTATTCTGAAAAGCTGTACCTCTGCAGAACTCACCAGGTGTCACTGGGTATTACATAGTCCAGCTCTTCAGCTCAGCAGTGAGACCAAAATATTCACATCTGCACTGGCTTTTTTTGAGGGACAAAAGCTGTACTGATTCATACTGTGTTGCATTGTGCTGCAGATAGAAGCACAGAGAGTCAGCTTGAAAAACTTTCTTACTCTTATTCATGACCTCCTTATTTTTTTTTTTTTTCTGTTCCACTGTGGTATTCCTGGTAAGTTTTGGTGTTTTCCAAAAGTTTGGGGAATCAGTGATGAGAGGGATTATTTCTGGCCTTATTGCATTTAATTTTTTATATGTTAGCAGTAATTTGGCCAAGGGATATAAGGAAGAAAAAAGCAATAATGAATGTATTGCATGTGAAGAAATGATGATGATAGATAAAGAAAGTCACTTAAGAAATTGACACAGAGTTGATCTTCAAAGTTGACTAATGTAGCCCAAGTGCTTTGTTTGAATGTATTTCTGGTGCAGAGGTCACTGCCTCACCTTCAAAGTTTGAAGGTGATGAAGAGGACGCAGAGTTGTTTCTGCAATTTAGAAAGACAAGAATGTCTTTCAGTAACATCCTCATATTTAGATCTCATAAGTCTTGTTAATGCAAATAGGCCATTTATAAATTATGGGCTAATATTTATAAACCATAGTGAATGAGCAGGGGCAATGGTAGTTTGGAAGATGCTGAAATAATAGGAAGGATTCTATGCACATACTTCATACATACATACTGTATTTTTCAACTACATTCAGTCTGCTATGATTATCATTAAAGTCCAAGTTAACTGACATTAGTGTTTCTTCTCTGCAGTTCCTGGCCAGCAGACAAAGGATAAGTTTTGGTGAAGTGCAGCAAGAATGTTTAAATAGATGGTTTGCAAGCTTGAATCTCTTTCTTAAGTGACATATTTGAACTGCTGCTATGTATCCACTGGAGAGAAGGCACATCAGGGAATTCTGCTAGAGCTGTACAAATTCATTTAACCTTGCATTTGACTTGACCTGCTTCCAAAGCCTTCTTGATAACATCCCCTACTTTCAGCTTCTGTTTATCTTCTAGGAATAAGACTGTTGCATACATTGTTTGCTGGAGACACTGAGGACCTCTGTCTGTGTTTATGTGTTATGCACCTAGATGAACTCATAGTCTCAAAATGCTAATAATATTTTTTAATGCTAAGTGTTATTTAGAAATATATGAAAAAATTACCTGGGCCTGCCTCCAAAAATGTTGTTGATTATAGCCATGGAATATTTAGCTTCAGAGAAAGAACAAAAATGGTTACAGTACAGTTTTAATGAATTCTTATACCCTTTTTTTCCCCAGATCATTTTGATTCTCTATTAAGTAAGCATTTAATTGAGAGTTATTATTATTATAAGCACATAATTTGTTATGAAATGAAATTGCTAATAATAAATATCTCATCTTCCATAGAAACTATAGCAATACTGTTCTGATCTTTTGTGAAGCTATTGCCTGAAAAAATGTCAAAAGCTTATGATATTACATAAAATAGAAAATGTACAGGAAGAGTTACAAAATTTGGGGGGAAATTAATCCAAAGTTGTCCCGGTTTCACAGGGTGTTGGAACAGTGTGTCTGAAAAGGAGTTTGAATATGTAACAGTAGAGAGCGTCCTGTACTCAGTCACCTGGTTTTGTATGAGTCCTACATGACTACTGTGTATAAAGAGAAGAAGTACAGTAAAGACAAAATGTACCAAAAACCAGCAGAGGTTTGTAGAAGAGAAAGATAACTCCATTTCCAGAAGCATTTCCAGGACATGGAAAGTGAAATCTCATCAGGCTAACCTTTGGAAGTATGTTTTAAGGAGGTCAAGGAGTTACTGAAAGCTGATAATAATTTGCTATAATAAGCTTGAATAGTCCAGTGTAAGAATATTAGAAGAGCAGTTTGGTTGTCAAGTATTGCCACAGACTACTGACTATTTTTTTATTCTATATTTCATCAAAGTTGTATTTATGAATGAAATTGTATATTCAAAAAAGGATTAATCCTTATAACCCTGGGGGTTTTTTCCTTATGCTTTTTCCCAGATATGAAAATATACCCTATAAAATGCAAATAAAAATGTCCTTTTTCCACCATAAAATCTGGTGACAGAGAATATCTAAAAATAGGTTGAAAAAAATGAAAAATTGGAGTTCTGTTACATACCTTTTCCCCCTTCCCATCTCTTATTTAATTTCATTTATTTCAGAGGAACTGATCACAGAATAATATATTCTTCCATTTAGAGATAGATATTGGATAATTAATATCCATTTGAAATAAGTATTTAATAATGTAATTTAATAGAGATTAATATTCTGTAATGAGCTCAACAATCCCAGTTGCTATTTGGATGGAGAATTCACAGTGAGGACCCAAGTCAAAAATGCTCAAAACCTCTTAGGAGAACAAGCGAATCAGGTCTAGTGATATGTCTGAAATAAAAATGTTTGAAGGTGCCTTCACTTCTGAGTAATTTACTGTTTTATTCAGCTAGTCCTCTGTATTTGCATGGGATTAAATACAGGTAACTTTAACCAGGGAGGAATTAGCATTAAAAAAGTATTTTGCAAATTCAAAAAATGTTGTTACTGTTCTGAAAATTTAATGAATTAATAAGAACAGAGTTATCTGCAGCTTCAAACTATTTTGTATGCTGGTAAATGTGACTGGGCTTTTTTACATATGCACAAACAGCATTACAGTATAGCTGTTGCTTTAAAAATATAAACTGTGTTATTTTAAAGATGCATAGTTCACAATGATCACTTGCACTCAAAGCAGTGTTTATTTGGAATGGATTAAGTATGATGTAAAATATATCCCATATTAACATTTTACTTCTGTAGGATTATGCCTACTTTTCTAAAAGGGAAGGCAGCTACATTTTTTTTTTTTTTTTCATTTTCATGTTCATGCTTTGAACTGTGCTGCACCTTTCCCCGTGGATAAGAGTCTGGCCAGGGAAGTGCCATCACTCAGGGCAGTGATCCGCAGCAGCCCCGTGTCAGCTGTGATGCAGCTCCAGCCTGGTGGACTGTGCAGTCCCGTGTGCCCTCTGTGAATGGGGCCACCAGTTTGGGTCTCCCTCCTCTGATCAATCATTCTCCCTGAAATTACTTCAGCTTAATGTCTTAGAAATAGTGGCCTCTCTAAATTTGCTTGGAATTTAATGAAAGATTTGAAAATTAGTAAGAGGTGAATGACAATGTGACCATTGCATAAGCTTTGTTTCTTTAGGAAACCAACAAAACTTTCTAGACTGCAGATGAAATGTTTTTGGGAGGTTAGAATGTAAAATTTATTTCAGATAGACTGTCAAGAATTATTTAATTGATGTTTTTGTTTGTTGTTTTTATTCAGGTTTTTTTCATGAGCAAGTCTTGCACAATTGGTCATGTGTTTTACTGTGCATTTCACATACACATCTATCAAGTTTGCCTCATAGTATGTTTTACAATAATTTCCTAAAACTATATTTAGTGGATTCCATGAAAAGCAAATAATTTTGAACATCACAATGTTCAATAAAGAAGAGACTGGGGCAATAGTCTGTTTGCTGACAACCTTTTCAAACTGCTATGGTGATTGGTGATTCAAGCCCTGATTTAGCTGCTATTTCTGAAAGGAATACTTCTTGCAATGATAAAACAGTACTGGAAATTTTGATTAGGAAATTCTATGATATTCCCAGAAGTGCAGCTTTGCAGAGATGCTGAGCCAAATGTTATGGTAATTTAAAAAAAGTGCAACCCTTACTAAATAATTGGAACTGCAGAGAATGTAAACCATTGAGGAATTTTTCCTGTTATGATGTCTCAGCATAGAGCAAGAGCTTATGTGGAGGTGTATAACAGTTATTTTAGAACTGCTTCTTTTAACTAATTCCTACTATTTATTTTATGTATGCTAAGAAATGATATTTTGTAGTATTTTGCATAGAATTTTATATATTCTACATAATAAGCACCAGATTCTTGATCATAAATGGGTACACCACTCTTTTTATTGTTTCATATATAAATATGAAACTGGATTAAAAGCACTCAATTTTCTTTTTATCTGTGTAAGTCTCAGACAGTTTGGACCTTGGATGCCATGACTGTTAGACCTGGAGGTTCCCCAAGACAGAAACTCCTAAAGGACTCCTTAGCAGCAAAAGAACTTCAGACCATGGAAAAACACCTAGCTGGTATGTATGGGATCAAGGAACCATAAAATGCCTAGAAGTACTCACCCAGCTTGCTCTGCCAATTATTTCAGATGAGGGAAAAAATTATCTAACTCACATGCTGATGAAAACAGATGAAAATGTTATTTTTTTTTTATTGAAGAAAACATAATTAGTGTTCTATTTATAGATGTAATGAACTTCATTGTAATCACAGTAAGTGCACTACTTCAACAGTAATTAAACCATGATAAATATACTGTGGTCTGAAGGCATAATAATGCACCTTTTTTTTTGTTTTCATGGTTCACCCAGAGTTATGCAATAAGTAGGTACTGGTATTTTACTCACTGTTAAATAGTCTTTAAAAGCAGGCTGCAGTGGATCTTTAACTGGAGAACAGAATGCTTTGCAGGAAAGACTCTCCTTGTTCATGAGAATTTGGGCTGAGTGAAATCTGTTAATTTGTGTGTCTTTGAACATCTGCAATATCTTTGATGGGGTGACCATTTCTGAAAAGTCAAAAAAAAAACCCAAACATGAGGTTTTTGGTAAAGAGATGTTTCGGAGCTTTATAAAAATTAATGAGGAATATTCTAAAATTTAGCTTGCAATTTGTTCTTCTTTGTAACCAATGTTTTCTATCTTCAGCTTTCATTAAAAGCTATGACATAGACCTATATTGTGGTAGGCCTATGTTATGCATGCCATTTGTCATTGCTGAAAGCTTCGTAGACTGATTCTATGAAAAGTAATGCTTCACTGGAACGTAAAGACTGCATATGTAAAATGAAGGTAGAAACGAAATTTATCTGATCATTCTTCTAAGTTATTTAGAGAGTGAGGCAGAGAACACTTTTGGTGTGATATTTTGAAATACTTTGTATATTTATCTTGCCAATAACAATGGTGAGAAAGCTGTATCCTCTTTAGAAAGGGGGTGTTGCAGCTGAGATCCAGGAGGATGACAAAGCTGTAAGCACAATGAGGGAAGCTTTTTAGGAATAGGTTTTGGTCATAATGGAGCAAGAACTAAAAGTTATGATAGATTCAAATGAAGCCTTTTTAGGTGGGTTTTGTGTCAGACAGTAGAGATGCTGTAATTCCATTTTTTTTATAGGTTCATAAAGCTTGCAGGTGTTAGAGCTGCAGCCACTTCCAAACTAGATTGAAAAATCCATGAGCTCTCTCTCTAAACTGAAACACCCAGGAACATCTAGTGGGAATCAGGAGAGCACCAAACCAATATGTGGTTTCTGTAGCACAGCAGGGACCTGTGTACCCCAAGGACCCTGCTACTGAGCTACCACTTGTTTTCCCTTATGTTGTTACTCAGGAGGAGTCTGGTGAAGATCTCCCTACTTTGATTTATGTCCTAGCTGGTCTCACTTTCATGGTCATACAATACATGTTCTTGCATGTATTATGCTGTGAAAAATGCAGTCCCTTGGCAAAACTGACAGTAATAACTACAATATTCAATAGAATATGGAATTTTAAATACTTAATCGACTGTAAAGTAACTAGGTACCTTCACTTAATCTCTGAGATTCCTTCTGCAGCTGTGTGACCCACAAGATTTTCTCTCTCACATCAGCGCTGTTCCTGTCATTTGACTTTGGGCCTGAAATTTCAATAAAGCTGTTGTGACATGAGGTTCAGCCATTCTACTATACAGTAATTTTTGTCTGACTGAGAACTTCACATGAAAACAGCCCAATTATTAAACATTAGAGTATTGTATTCTTAATAATTCATGCCCTATTATAACACCAGTGGTGCTTGAGACAATTACTCCTCTCAAAGACAAGAACAACGTAATTTCCGTGAATAATCAGTTCAGAGTACCTCAGATAATAATGCTGTGGTTTTGCTTAGCCTCATTTATCTTATACATTTGCAGAAGTTCAAGTGTCTGTGATATCAGCAAGTCTCTTGTTTCAGTTCTCTTAGCAAGCGCAATGGAACCTATTAATTCCACAAAAATCTGCCATTCTAGGCAGTAATTCAGATGCCTGAGCTATGACTTGGATTACCTGTGTAATGATGAAATATGGCCCCCTGTCTCACATGCACCTTCTTAAGGGGCCTGGCTTTCCCTTATGGACTATGTGCTGGATAAAAATCACTCCTAACATAAGGCGTAATTTGGTGCCGGTGCCTAAATTAGGAGCTAGCACCAATTGCCAGCAACTGCCTCAGTACTTGATATTTGAAAGCAGCAGTTTTACAAAATCAGATACTGGAGCAGTTTTCTGTCTCTACATATGGCTTATATATTTTTTTTGTCTAAAATCCAGGCTCTTATGTTATTATGGCTGCTTTATATCACAAGCAAATGGAGATTGTTTTTTTCTTGGTAGTTTATTCCAGTATCTTGCCAATTTGGTATGTAGCACTGATTTTGTGGTCTTAGTATACTTCTGGAAAATATTTTATCACAAGAAGAACTGTTAAAAAAAATAAACAGTTTATAAGTGCGTATGAATCATATCCTTATTCTGGATTTTTTTTTTTTTTTGAAAGCAAAATGCCTTTCTGTTGCTCTGTTGCATTTTTTTTTCCTTTAAATGACAACAACAAGGGTTTTTAAAAATCCTAAGTCATAATTCAATTGTATTATTTAACATGTATCAGGTAATACTGCAAAGCTGGGAATGTGTGACTTCTTTTTCTTTCTGGCTGAAAAGCTTACATTAAAGCAAAATCAAACAGAAGATGTGTAAATAAAACTGAATAATTATGCTGTGGAAACATGTTAATTATGTGTAGAGAAATTATTATAATTGGTTTATCTGTAGGCTTGATTGCTGTATGAAATTAAGGAAACATGAGCCAGCATATAATATTTATTTAACTCTATTAGATCATTCAATATTCATGCTATTTCTTAGCATAGTGAATTCACTACAGGCAAGTTGGGCATCTGTAATTTTGCAAAGAAATAGACTAAGCTGGTTCTTTACAAGACCATATTCTTAATTTGGTTTAAATCAGTATCCCATAGTATCATTTACTGGCCCCTGATTTTTTGCCAGGCATTTTACACATGCTACACCAAAGGAGGAGCAGGGAGCAGGTTAAGGGAATTGCTTCTTCCCCCTCTAAGATCAGCTCAGTTGGTCAAAGCCTGGTGTTAATAATGCCAGGGTCATGGGTTTGATCCTCATATGGGCCAAACTGAAGAGTTTGACTTGATGATCCTTGTAGTTCTCTTCCAATTCAGAAGATTCTGTGATTCTGTGATTGACTGCTCCACACTCATGAGACCCCACCCAAGTGCTGCATTCAGCTCTGGGGCCCCCAAGGCAAAAAGGATGTGGACCTGTTTGAGCTGGTCCAGAGGAGGCCACCAAGATGCGCAGAGGGCTGGAGCATCTCTCACAGCCTGAGAGACTTGGGATTGGCCTGGAGAAGTGAAGGCTACAGAGAGAGCTAATTGTGACCTTCCACTACCTAAAGGAGCCTGCAAGAGAGCTGGAGAGGCACTTTTTATGCAGGTGTATAGTGATAGGACAAGGAATAAAGGCTTTAAACTAAAAAAGGAGAGATTTAGATTAGATGTTGAGAAGAAATTCTTGACTGTGTGGGTGGTGAGCCACAGGAACAGGTTGCCCAGAGAAGCTGTGGATGTCTTGTTTCTAACAGTGCTCAAGGCCAGGTGGGATGGAGCTCTGAGCAACATGATTTAGTGGAAGGCATTCCTTCCCAAAACCAGGGGGTTGGGAACCAGGTGACCTTAAAGGTTTCTTCCAGCCCAAACCATTCTCTGATTCTGTGAAGTTCCAAAGTGAAAGCATAGTGGAAGAGCAGTTCAAGATGTAATAATTTCAAAATAGAAATAATTAATTTTAAGGGGTCGATTATAAATATTCTTAAGTGTGTGCTAGAAATATTGACTATGTTTTGAAATTTGCTAACAGTGAAATATTTAATCTTTAAAAAGTTGAGAGACACTTTTATCTGAGGCTTTCACAATAGTTCAGTTTATTAGCTTTTCTAGTAATAGCATTTGAATTGTGTGCAATATGTTGTATTAGACTAGTAACATGAAATTGGCATGGCTTATTTTCCTGTTTTCAAGATCTTATAAAATATGTTGATGTTCAAGGCAGCACGTCTTTAATTATTTAAGATAGAACATTCCTTTTATACCTACTGGTAAACACAAATAAAAAAAAATCTCATTTTCCAATATGCAGTTTAGAGTCTGGTTTTTTTAGGACATTTAAAATCTGAAATAATTTTTATAAAAATTAAAAAAAAAATTAAATGCTTATTTTAAACAATTTGACTTAATGGGTGTTTAAATCAGTAGAGCCTTGCTACTCTACAGCTTGTAGAACTGTGACTTTTTAATGGGAAATGGCATTGCTAGTTTGAAGATAATCAGCTGTCTCTATGAAGATTAAGTACAGTAGAGTACATGAAAATGAAAATTCACAACAGTAGTGTAAGATAAAATAAACTTGATTAAACTGTTTCTTAAGTTCTACATTTGTACTTGCAAGGACTTTCAATTATGTTATCAATGCTAACCTACATTCCAGCTACCCTCACCTGACTTTGATGGCTGTATTCTGATTTAATTCATTAGAAGCATTAATATGATTTAAATTATTTCAGGAGACACTTTTCATTCATTGTCCTTAACCTGTTGTAGTTTTAAAAGAGATCTTATTTCTTATGGCTGTGTGCAAGGCAGGGATTGGACCACCCAATGGCTGTCACCTTTTCTCCTCGGACTCTGGATATTGGTGAGCCCATCACCGCAGCAGGTGGTGACCTGCTGTGGCACTGATGGCAGGCCGAGGCATGAGTTCAGGTTCAAACAGGATCACAAATCCAGACATGCCAGAGTTCAATAGTTACTTCCCTCAGAGTTTTGGTTGGGCAGTAGACAGTAGGGCCAGAAGCGAAAGTTTTTCCTTGAGCCAGTTTTGGATTGCAGCTGAGGATGGCAGGTTTACATCACTGCTCTGTCTTGGTTTGCTACTAATCTTGATTTTGCAGTAACTGTGCAAAAGCCATGGAGACATTATTTTGATGAAACAAGAGGAATTTTTATAGGCTGTGGTGACACCCAATGTAGAGGTAATATTTCATTGCTGCAGGATAGCTGTGTTTGCAGTGAATCAAATGTAAATAAACTTTAAGGATGTGCTTGCCAAACATTTGCACTGTTAATTCTGATGCCTTTCATTTTAAGCATGAATAGATTTTCTCTGTGCAGCTTCAGGTTTTCACTTACACTGGAGAAAATCATTGGGAGTTTTAAAGCAGAGAGAAACAGACAGTGAGTTTCTTTCTTTTCCATTTGTTCATGTGTGTGTGCACAGACATTGAGAAGGACCTCGCACTGTGGGAAGAAGCAAGGCTCTCAAGAAGCCCTGGTGTCCAGCATCCCAGTGTAGTTACATCTGACCATCAAGGCAATCTTCAAGCTGCACAGGGCCCAACCCCAAGGCCTCAGGTGCCAACTCCAACAGGGAAGAACATTCAGCTCCAAGGAAGCAAATCACCACCGCTGCCCACTAGCAGCAGAACACAGGTCTCCAGTGTCACAAACAGCAGTGCACAAACCAAGAGGCCATCAGCTCCAGGGAGCAGACCTATGACCCCAAATAGCTTGTTGTCACGGCCTCTTACCCCTAGCAACCAAGGAAATAGGGAAGGCATTATTAGCATGCAAAGAAGCAGATCTTTGTCATCTAAGAGCCAAATGGGGAGGACCCTCAGTGCTGCTTCAGGGCTTTCTGTGCAAGTGAGTGGAGATGTTGTTGGAACTGTCACTACTCAGAGAAACAGTTTATCAGAAGTAAGATTTTCGATTTAATGTTTTTGCTATATTTAATAATGCCAAGACTTGATTGCATTTTATGTTCAAGTAACATCAGTATACCTAATGTAACCTACTGTGCTGAAAAGAACTTGAAATATAATGATGAGAAAATTAGCAAGGAAATACTGCTCAGCTTTGAGAGGTACTCATTAGAGAATGTCAGTATTATTACAGAAATCATACTGAAACACTTGTGTCCCCCAAATTTACCATGAGCTCTGTAGGGCTTTGCCTGTACAATGCATAGCAGTTTTATTAGCATTACAGTTTCTAACAGGTGCATATCTCTGGCATATCAAACAAAACTTTATCTAATCTTTATGTTCCACTGTATTTTTTCTTTCCTGCTGCACTGGCAGTGCATGATATTTTCTTGATATACTTTTTATTTCATATTTTTGGACAATTGGAATGATTAGTTAGGCATCACTGAAAGGACAGGTTTTTCCAAAGCACCAAACTGAATTGCAAGAGAAAATGTCCAATATTGTTGAATCACTGTCTAATACTATATGCATGGTAACTAGGCTAAATTTACAGCATAAAAAATTTCTTGTCACATATTATTGGCTTTTACAAGACTAGTCTTTGTTTAAAACAAAACAAAAGAAAAAGTACCTTGTAAATTCTGAGTAGGATTCTCCTCTGCTAACCTTAGCTGCCTTAAAGATAACTTCAGTGTGTGGGCAGTGGAAATAAAAGCACCTCTGAAAGAAAACCCCTGCTGTCTATCTCTATATATGCCTTACAAAGGTGAGTTATTTCTCAGGATATGTCAGTCCTTCTATACTGACTTGAGAAGGAACTATGTGTCTAGACTGCTGATTTTTTAGTGGTGGAATACGTTGGTTCCCACCATTATTACCAATCTCTTTGTAATCCATTTTCAAAGCCTGGAGACCTTTTTTCCAAGACTGAAAGTAATATCATACCTTTAGATTGTTTCTGAGGAGTATCATCTGTTATAATAGTCTGTTGGGTGTGACACTTGACACAATTGTTGTCAGTCTCATGACTTCTAAAGGAAATTTCAGACGTTGTTTATGATAGTGTTTCTTAGGGTTGCTTTTAGAAAAATTAGAGATTAAATACTTAGTGTGACCCTTCAGTTAATTATATGACATCCATTATGTGTTGTGAAGGAAAGGAAATGAGGCACAGATTACTCTAGAATTTGGGAAAGAAATCTTACTTAAATTTGGTGGTGAAATAAATACTCATTATTTTGGTGTTTGAATGACAGTGCACTAATCCCATCACCTGAGCTGTTTCTTCTCTTAGAATTGAATATCCGGCTTAAAGACATGAGGACTGAAGGTGACTACAGTTCTCCTGAAAGTGTTTTAATTGCCGGTTGATGTATTTTCAAACCATGTTTCCCATGGAAAAAAAAAAAAAAAGAAGTAATTTTAATACTTTTTTTGTTTTACAAGAAAAAAATCACTTTGTGTCCTCTTTTGAAGTATGGGATGTGTTTGTGTATTAGAATTTTCTCTCATACCAGAAAATAAGAATTGAAATTAGTTTTTAACTATAACATGTTCAGAAGAAATGAAGGGTTTCATTGTCTCCAACTACATTTTTCATCCCTCTTTTTCTTCTTTTGTAGGCAGTCTTGTTCTTAACTGAAATGCAGTCCTGTGATGCCAAGTAAAATTATTGTATATACTCCTGAAACTATATGTATGTAATGCGTGAGAGATATCCAGTCTGCCCATCACTTTTGATCTTTCCTGTAAAAAGGCAGACAATTAAAAATGCTTTCTTCTAGAGCCTTTCTGTAGTTATGGTAATAATAAGCAAGAGTCCCATTTAATTTGCTGTGTCTTGTTACTTCTGTTTGCTGATAGCTCTCACAGTAATTGTCCTGTTATACTTTTAATACATGTATATATTTGTCTCAAGAATTTTAGGAAGTGAGCAATATTATTATGCTATTTTCCAGTTAGAATAGCATGTCCAGATTCAGCCAGCAATCCACTGTAAAGCTGATGTTAAACCTCAGCATTTCTATGCAGGACCTTATCCTCTGTTAAAATCCCTTCTAGAAGTGACAAATTCTTTTCTTTCTCTTTGCTCACTGGGTACAATAGTACCTTGGCTGCTAGTGACCCAGCTCAGACCCTATTTATCCTTTCTGACATGCACAAGTGACCTTTGACATAATGGAAACTCAGCTTGGGACTAGCTCTGCTTCCAAAGGGAAAGCTGCTAGTGTGACACGTTCATACTGAAGACTTTCCTCTTCCAGGTTTTGAAGGCTCGTGGATATCAGGAAGTAGCTGATGGAGATCTGACCAATCTGCCACTCCCAGCCTCATTTTTTAACAAGCTTTCAAGTTTTCTTTTGCCCACTTAAGTTCCTGGTCACTTAGAGAAGTGGATTTAGACAGAACATACCCAGGAAATACGTCTGTTCTGTGACATTTTTTGCCATGTTAGACATTTCCTCCCATTTGTGGCCATGTAATTTCATTTTCTTGTGTTTCAGCTTGCCTCTGACCATGGAGATATATTTTAAAAATTCAGAGGTGATTTGGGGTAGGAGAGCAAGGGTCCTGCCTGTCTTTGTAGTATTACATATCACAACCATATAAAACTGAAGGCTGATACTGTAATTTATTTTGCAACTTTCATTGTAGGTTTTGCATCCTCTTCCTGTATAAAACCAGTACAATAAAAGAGGGGAACTTGCCTTTATTCTTATTAACCTTATGGTCTCAACTGGGAATTTCTGCTGGATGTAAATATACTATGGTTATATTGCCAATCCTATAGAAGTTACTATGATAAGATTTTTGCAAATAACTGTGCTTCCTTATTTTTAGGTAATGTTAATGGAATTAATCAGTAGAATATTGATATATATTTGATGAGAATAAGTCAGTTGAAAAGAATGTGACTGCTGGGTGCCAGGAGCATGTTTTACCCTAAGGAGCTTGATTTACTTACTTATTTACTTGCTTATTTGTTGGGAAGTTGAACATATCTCTCAATGCCTTATATATGCTTCCTAGATTGTAATGTGTTTCAAGCTAACATAACAAGTCTAAATAGAAAAATATAACTAATAAATACAATTCAAAGTTCTTAAGCTTTAGTAAAGTTCATGCTGCAGCATGGGTGGTTCAATCTTGTTGTAGCACAAATCTTAAATAATTTGGCAAGTGCTTAACATATCAGCTGTTAAGAATGTTTTGGGGGTTTTTAATGCTCCAGACTTATAATGATCTGAGATTTTGTGCACAAGTTTCTGCCTCCTGGCACACATAATATTATTAAGTTCTAACAGGTGTGTTTTATTATCAGCTCTGTTCAAGGCTGAATTGAATTATAGCAAAGAAATGCTACCTAGAGAAATAGTTTTATTATCTCTATAAAGGTAATAAATCAGGGTTCCAAATCCTTTGGCAGAGATACTTTTATGCATGTTCCTAATCCTTTGGTGTTCTGTATAAATTGGCAAAGGAATGTTGAACCCTGCTTATCTCTTTAGGATGGATTCCATTAAAGTGACACAACTCTGTGATACTTGTCAATAGTTGTTGAGATGAAAATACTACTGACTCCCTTGTTCACCATATCATTTTCTGAACATATGAAATTTTCCAGTAATTTCTTTTATTCAGATAATTTTAAGTGGTATTCAGCAATCCTTATTAGTCTGTCATAGCTGAGAGCAGGAAATTTCGTCTTATTTGAATACAGCATTGATTAACAAGATTTTTACTCCAATTTACTGGAGTATAAAGCATAACAAACATTTTTACTCCATTTACTGGAGTATAGAGCATAACTTGTGATGGGGACTCTTTTTGGTCAGACACTCTCATTCTGTTCCACTGCCTGGCTCAGGTCTTTGCTCTGTGTTTTTGGAAGATTAAAAAGTGTGTGGATCAGTGTGAGAGTCACACATGCCTACTGCAAGAATCCTGTTCCTTGAACCAAAACACATTCAGTGTTGTAGTCAGCAACCTTCTCCAGCACAGCACATTGGAAATGGCAATACATGAGTGAGGCCTGGAGCTCCTGCCTGAGTTTACTGCTGGCCCATGGCAGCAGTCTTTGTGGAATTTTTAACACATTATTGACAATTAATAATTTACTCCCAGTGAGTTACATCTTGATTGAGCAGCCTTCAGTCTCCCAAAACTGATTTAAACAAGCCTGGATTCTGTATTTAAATCAGATAGCCTAAGAATGAACTTTCTGTTGTAATACAATTTAACTTTAAATAGGTAGATTTTTATTTCAGCTGATGTAACACAAAGCAGGGTTATTATCCCCCTTTTTTTTTCAAGAACTTATAAAAATTTGGCCAGTAATTTTATGATATCTGGCCAAGGTTAAAGTTTTCTTTTAGAGACTAAACTTGCATGTTTGAACTGCCTTTGAAAATAAAACTGTGCATTCCAGTCTCATCTCTCCCTGTGAATATTGCAAAGGAATGTGTCAAAGTATTTTATATGTCTGTGTGTATACCTGTTCACATACATATGTGTGTCTCTGCATGGAAAAATATTTTTATACACATACCTATATACATTATATTAAAAAGTAGGCAATTTTAAAACATTTTCAAAATAATATATTCAGCTGCATATGGATTTTAACCATGTAAAACATTGATATTTTGATGTTTTAATGGTATCTTGGAGACAAAAGTTTCCATAACATTTTTCCTTCCTAAGCCTTCTCCTTATGCAACAAAACTGTAGGTTCTAAATCAGGTTTCAGGTTCTTGTAGTTACTAAATTTTGACAGATCAAAGCCTCACTTAAGCAAGTTGCATTTGAAATGTCTGTGCAGTCCAAAAATTGCAGGTTCAGATGTAATATGTGCAATTTTGTCTTGTCACTGCTTTTCCAAGATGAGTGTGTATGTGTCTTACATGTCTGTATTTATAGTGGAGACATTGCTAAATAGATCCCTTCACTTTGGTGGGTTTGGGCTTGATTTTTTTTGTTGTTTCTTTGTTTGCTTTTCATTTTGTTTTGGGTTTTGGGCATTTTTGGGGCATTTTTTGGGCTTTTTTTGGGCTTTTTTTTTGTCTTGGGGTGGTGTTTTTGGGGTTTTTTTGTCTTTTTTTTTTTTTTGTTAATAGATTAAAAAAAATTTCCAAGAAGCCTGCACATCCTTTACATTTTGGTTTTATTTCACAGCAAGTTGGTTTTTTTGTTTTTAAAGGCTTTCTCCTCTCTAGTTAATTGTGGCTAGTGTTTGCTGCAGTCTTCATTTATACAGAACAATTGTCTGTCATTTTATCTAAAATAGATCTGTTTGTGGCAGGATGAATTCTTACAACAGCTTCAACTTGCTCATCAACCTTGGATATTGCCAAGTGACACAGAAAGTGAAGCAGTGGAAGCTGACCAAGACAAATGTAAGTATATATGTAAGGACCAGATAATATGTCAATACCCCTCAACTTCTGTTTTCCATATCTTCAGATACTGTGGAGATGTCATGCCTGCTCTCAGGAGCTTTTCTCACAAGTACCAATTGCTTATTTGTCTGAGGGCTGAACCCTATAGGATTGATCTGCAGGAGCTTTCCTGTAGTCACTGAACAATGGCAAAATGATCACAACTCTGTTTACTTAAGCTAAGTGAAGCAATTTGTCCTGATGTGTTAAAGTAGCTGTTCCAGAAAATAACAGGAACTTCAAATAGATAATCTGTTTCATAAATCTGTATTCACCAGCAAAAAAAAAAGGCAAAGTGAAAAACTCCAGGTCTGGAAAGTAGAGCCTCCCTCCTTAGGTCTGACACTCCATTTTCTCTATTTTGCTTACATTCTTTTTAATTCATCTTTATAAATAAAAAAGTTCTTAATCATACCAGTATTCCTTAATATCCTACACTCTGGAGTATTTGTCTAATCGTGGAAGTGAGGGTCAGCAGGATCAGAGCCTAAATGGCAGGACAAGTAATAGGCTATAAATTGCAGTATTCTCAAATTGTAGCAAATTCTCCCTGCCTACAAGGTAAATGATCTTGCTGTTTCACATTATCTCTTTTAATTCACAGTAGTTTTGTGATCTTCAAGGGTGAATATGAAAGCTGCTTCCTAACATATTTTAGGTGATGTACTTGAAAAAGAACAGATTATTTAATCATCATGTTTAGAAAACTCAATACTGGTTTAAACATCAAGAGTTAATGTATGAAAAAGACATTTTCTTTACATAAGGGAACAGTTCTATAAGGGATTAAGGATTCATAAGAAACACCCCAGATAAATAGAATTTTTTAAATTATGCCACTTTAAAAAATTGGTTTTTACTCATACATCAGTTTCACAAATTCATACATAGCCCAGAGTTTGACTAAAATTGAAATTTACACAGTGAGATCCTAAAGAGCATGTGAAGGTCTTTTTGAACACTAGTAAAATGTTACAATGAGATTCTGTGTATCTTATTGGTTTTAATCCAAGACTGTAAGTCAAATTTGGCTTGCACCAGAACATTTCAGTTATCTTTCAGCTGAAGCTCACCTTAGATGGCTCAAGAGAGACTCTGAGACCTGCCTTTTATGTGTATGCAATTTTTCCTCAGTATTTTCTGTAATGAATTTACAATCCCACAAAACATTGTTAGGACTGGCTGTGCACACACAGACTGATGCTAATTGTGTGACCAGGGAGACTGATGCTCCAGGACGTATCAGATACACACCATACTTTTGTATAGCTGCTGTACTTGAATTGTGTGGGTGTGAGGACTTGTGAACACCCAAAATCCTGTCCTATAATATTCCAAGAATCCTGGTAGGTCATTGTCATTGCCCAAAAAACAAAGTGGTAAGTTAATTATTAAAAGCATATTCTTAAGGTCGATGTCCAAATGCCTCTTCAACAGTGACAGACTTGAGCAACTGACCATCTCCCTCAGAAGCCTGTTCAGTCTTTCACCCTCTCAGTAAAGGAATGCTCCTGATGTCAGTCTGAATCTCTCCTGGCACAGCTTTTAGCCATTACCCTGTGTTCTGTCACTGAATACCAGGGAGAAGAGATCAGTGCCTCTCTCCCCACATGCCCTCCTCAGGAAGATGTGAAGTCAATCCTCAGCTTAATTTTCTCCTAAACTAGACAAGCCCAAAATCCTTAGCTGCCCCTCACAGGTCATTCCTTCCAGCCCTCTCACCAGCTTTGTTGCCCTTATCTGGACCCATTCAAGGACCTACACATGCTTAAATTGTGGTGCCCAGAACTGCACACAGTGCTCCAGGTGAGGCTGCACAGTGCTCTACACAGTGGGATAATCACCTTTCCTGAGCAGCTGGTGATTCTGTATTTGATGCACCCCAGGATGGGGTTTGTCCTGTTGGCTTCCAGGACACACTGCTGATTCTTGCTGTGCCTGCTGCCAACCAGCACCTCCAGATCCATTTCTGCAGAGAGGCTCTCCAGCCACTCCTCTCCCAGTTTATACTTTTGCTTGATATTAGTCTGTCCCAGCTGCAGAATCTGGTGTTTTGACTTGTTAAACTTCATGCCATCAATCACTGTCCAGTGTTCCAGTCTGTGTAGATCCCTCTGCAGAGCCTCTTGTCCCTCCAAAGAGTCAGCAGCACCTCCTGGTTTGGGATCATCAGCAAATGTGCTAATGGTGGATTCAGCTCCTGCCTGCGGGTCACTGGTAAATGTATTGAACAGAACTGGCCCTAGAATGGATCCCTGGGCAGCACCACTGGTGACCAGTGGCCCCCTTTGAGCTCTGCCCTTCAGCCAGTTCTTCACCCAGCACAGCCTGCAGCCACTCATCCCACAGCTGGACAAGTTGTCCTGAAGGATGCTTGAGGGACAGTATCCAAAGCAGTACTAAAAACCAGAAAAACCATGTCCACCACCTTTTCTTCATCCCCTGTGTGGGTGACCTTATCATAGAAAGCTATCAAGTTAGTTAAACAGGACTTACCCTTTGTGTTGACCTCCGTGTAGTTAGCTGGTGCACCCTTCTATCACTGTTTCTACTACTATAACTAAAGGGATGGAACAAAAACGTTTTATTAAAGTAATACTTCCTGTAACTGAAATCTAATAGTGAAAAATTTTATTAAAAGTAACTAAAGGTGGTAACATCCCTGTCTGAGTTTTTGTGCTAGTGACATTGTCAAGAAAGTGCAGAACTGTCACTGCTGACAAAGAGAAGCCGCCAATTCCTGGTTGTAAAATGGAGCCAGCAAGGGGCTTTGGCACACTTACTGATGCCACTGCTTGTAGGTAGACCAGCTGGCAAGATTACACATAATTTCTCACCCCGGAGTAATAAATCTGTGTGAGTATTTTTTGTGTGATTTAGTGTTGAGAAGGCCCAGGAGTCCATAATTTGTGAGTTTGAGCAGAAGAGCTGCAAAATTAATCTTTACAATAGCAACACCTGTTCTTTGACTCAGCCTTTGATAAATTACATGTGGATAATATTTACCACATTCTTTGACTACTTTGAGATAATAGCAGCCAGGTGTAAAACTAGTTTTTGGTAGTGAGAAAACAATGCAGAAAGAGAAACTGTATGAGTCACCTTGAGTTCTTTAAAAGTAATATCGTCTGGTTAAGAGTTTTAGAAGAAAAAGAACAAATGAAATAAGAGGGGAACAGTTTCAATTGTATTCAGATATAAGAGTTTAGAGAGGCTATTTTCAAAGTAAGTGATAACTGAACAGAACTGGGTTACTTTGGAATCTCAACATCTCTCAACAAACATCATTTGCAAAACAGATACAACAGCGCATATCTTGTCTTGTGGAAATGGGATCTTGGTTCTCAGTTCTTGTAAATCAGACTTTACATTTTAAATTCTCCAGGCTCTCTGACAGCATTTTTTAATTTATCCTCAGCAGCAAGTTTCAATGATAACTGGAAGTCAATAATTGTTAAACCTTCATACTAATTATGACAAAATTTTAAATAAAATAGCTACTCACATAAAAGAGTTTAAATTATACTAGCTTAAAATATTTGTTATGTTAAAGAAGGAAAGAAAAATATTTTAAGAAGCTTTGTTGATTTTTTAGCACACCCTTTCCTTTTCCTCTTTGTGCATGTAGTTAAGTTTGTGGCCATAGGTCAGAGAAAGAGATAGTGTATAATTATTTCCTCTTGTAATGTACATTTTGTTATTAAAAATAGGAATTAAGACATGCATTTTAAGAGCTATTATAATTTAGAAACAAAATCTCTTCTGCTTGCAAAATGTGTTCTCCTTTGAAACTCTCTACAAAATGAGAGATGAAAATTGTCAAGGCAGTATGATCCCAAATCAAGGACCTGTGGTGTTCTTTTAGAGTGACTAAAAATATCTCTAGATGGAACCTCATGTGTATTTTTCCTCTGTGATTCTGGAGACAGTTCCCCATTTTTATCTGCAGTATTGCTTGTGTGCTGATTCTCTGCAAAGAGTTTTCAGAGAATGCATAGATATCATTCTTGGAAAAATGAGGGATCTGGAGAAAGTATTTACCACTTGCATAATTCTTCAGTTTGATGAAAGTTCCGTGAGATGGCAAGAATAGATTTTCCTCTTTATGGGGTACTGATGCACAGAAACAGAAGAACTGCCACCAGAACATTCTTTAGACAGCTTTTATGAGAAGAAATTAATCCTTTCAGGGGACTGACAAGAGGCTGCTTGAATTTTCCCTTGAGAACAAGTCCTACAAAGATTAAAGATTGGAAATTTCTAAGTATCACTAGCTTCCAAGAACCTTGAAAAGACAAAGACAGGGCTTTTGGTATAATTTGAGCTGCCATCTGTAGTCTTGGCAAGGATTTGCTGCCCAAAATGCTAAGTCTGCTTTCTTGGGTGCTGAACTCAAGAAGTAACCCACACAGCAGATTTCCCCAGGTCACACAGCCTTGGACATAGTCAGCCCACCTAGCAGATGTACATGACAGGTGAATGAAGTACAGTCTTGAAAAGCTTGCTACTTAGTCAATCCATATTAAATATACCCACAGAACATTAAGGACTGGAAGGCACCCTTAAGGATGATCTGTGAAAAACATTCCTTTGTGCTAATCTGCATAAGACATGCCAGTTTCTGTAGTCAATGGCACACAAAGTTGTGTATCTATAATCACTTCATTCCAACTTGCCAAAAGGAGCACTAGATGCTCATTTCTAGCTCAGTTGATCCAGGGCAAGTCTTGAGCTCTTGGCCTCTGACCTGTGGGAGGAAATTTAAATGTTTTGCTACTCTTCATCTGCAAACCCTTTGCTAAGGTTAACAGTGAAAGGTCTACTGCTGAAAAATCAAATGGTAATTGGGATGAAGTGGGATTTCTACTCCATTCATTCTTGCACTGATCTTGGAACTGTGCAGTCAAAGACACTCTGCTGATGACTTCAACAGTTGTTGAAGAAAACCTTTGTTTTCCCATTTGCACAAGTCTGCCTAGGGAAAAACCCAAAAGAATGAAAGATAGGGTTTTTTGTATACTTGAGAAATTCAGACTGTGTTCTAGTAAAATTCCAATCCATACAGTATTTGCCCATGGGTAAAGTTCCTTGCACTGAGTAAATTCACATGCCAAAACAGTCAATTTATTCTAATTATGCAAATAAGTGTTCCCGAGATTTGGAAGATTGCTTGGCCAGAGTTAACAATAAGGAGGAGTCTACTGCTGGAATATGTTTTTGCTGTGAAAGTTTGCTTTTGCTAGGGCCAGGTGCTACTCAGTATGAGTAAGAATGACAGAATCTGGGTTAGAGGAGCAACTGTTGATTGCAAACTTTATGACATCTACACAACCACATTCCATTTCTCTCATTCAAATTCAGCTGTTTGTACTCTGCTCTGATAGAACATAGCTGTATTGGAATGTCTCTTTCAGAGGGTATGAGTTTAGGGCAAGTTTAGATGTGGTTTCTCTAGAGAGTAAGGTGCTTATGAGGCATCACTCAAACATTAGTCAATTATATGTCTGGTTAGTAAGAACATAATTGTTGTAGTTGGCAGTTTTTCTCAATGAATAATAAATTCAATATAAATACAGACTTTTTTTAAACTTTTTTTTATTTTTCTTTTGTCTCACAAGTGAATCTGTCCCAAAAGTGAACTTCTGGGAGACTTTTATCCCAGTTCATGAATCTTCTGGAGATATTGGTGT